GACGTGTGCTCTTCCGATCTATACAAATTGCCAAGTATTTGATTAAACATAGAGACAAAAATATTTTATTCCAAACCACAAAAATATTTTTTTAATAAATCGTTTAAATTATTCAAAATTATATGCAGCAAAAGTTTAATGCTATTGTCTTTACAACTTTAAGTTTCGTAATACAGACTTAAAGTTATTAAAATGATCAATAGAATCATAGTGAAGCAAAATCTTAGCCATTATGTAAAATTTTTCCTTTTTTTTAAATTATTAGTATCTCGAGAACTATTGCGAAGATCGCAAAATGATAGAGGACTTTTTTGTTCAATTTGGTCCACACTATCTGCCCACAAGCGCAGTACCATTGAGCACAAGACACCCTGTATAAATAACGCAAATGAATCACAATTTCAGTCTTTCTCAGTGCAATTAGAATACAAAAAAATAAACGAATTATATCTAATAGATATGTTTTCATTACTGTTGCGTTTATCGTTTATTCCACATACTTTACTTCTTATTTTCGTTCATATTAACAACAAACTTATTTAGAAAAAAAATTTATGATCAGTATATTAATATACTGTGTGTAGAACACGATAAAAGTAAGAAGCAACAGGTATGGAACAAACGTACATTATACGCAACGGTAAGAAAAAGATTTATTAAGAAGGTTTTACGCTCATCTTTTTCTTTATATTCTAAATGTACAGAGCAGAACTCAAATTATCATCGAAATGCAGCAAACAAATTATAACTGCAATATTGCAGCAATATTATAACATTTCTGCAATACAGTTAGAATATTGCAATTATAATCTGTGTTTGATGGAAACATTTGCGGTACCTATATATTAATCTGCTTATAAGTGTTACACACCAATATCTACGGTAGTTCCTATTAGCTTTATATCTCATTTCCTTTGATTATTTATAAGTAAACATATATTTCAAAATAAAAAAATTATCTTAATTTCAATAATTACATTATTATCCAATATATCAATAAAAAGAGAATGAAATTTGGTTCATATTTCATTACCTCTAGATCATCCGGATGACTGATGCATACAGCGGACAGAAAGAAAAACCAAATTTTAAAAATGGGATACTGATTATTAAAAGTAGTCGCTATTTTCCATATTTCCTCTAAAAAAAGATATGTATATGTATATTTCGTAAACTTATCAAAATATTATAAATATTAGTTAAAAAATATTGATGTGTCATTGTATACATTTATCATTAAATATATTTATCATTTATCATTATATATATATAATATATTTTATCATTTTTCATATAACTTAGTAATTTGGACAATAAATAATATTATTGCGTAAAAGAGAACTCAAGAGCTTAAATAATTTTTAAAAGTAATGCTGTAATATTAATAATTATGTTTCAAAGAAGAATTTTTACACATATACAGTGCAAAGACAAATTTATGTTATTGTACAAAAAACTTTAACTTGCCTTGTGAACTAGGAAATTGTAAAACATTTCCAAGAATTGGAAAACCTGACGGACCTGGTATAAGGTTGATGAGTCGCCCGTTTCTTCCATAATGTGCATAATAATTCCACACCAATATAATGAGGATAAATAACAGCAATATAGTAACCAACATCGTTTGTTGCTCAAATGATTAACCAGTTTAATTTTGTTTTCTTTGATTCTTTTGCTCTGCTTTAGTGTTTAAAACATACGAATCACTGAACATATTATACGTGTATATACATAGATTCCTTGATTTAAAACAACATTTCTGATATTCTAAATAATTTAAATGTATTTAATAAGTAAAAGAAACACATTAGAATACTATATTTTAATTATATTATTACAAATTTTTTTACTATAAATAGATAATTATCAAAAAGACTTACGATATAACACAATGTTCTTCTATTGAATGCTTGCGAATGACTCGTTCACTTTTATGATTATCTGTTCGCTTAATTGAATAACTCCAACAATAACGTTTGATTATAAGTTTTTTTTTTATCAAGAGCCACGGGCGTGACTGGGCACTAACAATTATGCGCGAAATCGGACTGTATATCTATACGCTAGCCGGCGAGTTGCAAGCGCTCGAAATTACCGGAGATTATTTCAATAACGGCTGAACTGATCAACTTTTAAGTGTAGGCTCAACAGCTTAGGTTTGAATTGCATAATAAAAGTGTTTTTATTTTTCCCTTGCGTGCTCTACAAGCGGAGATATTCCGATGCTAAATCTGGAAACTTTAGTTCAAGAAACGGGTTTTATCTTCGCCGTCCCGGACGCGGAGTGGGAATTCTTGTGTGTATTGCGATTTTCATCGTGAGAAGCTATATACATATATAATACTACTTTATTGCTAACAGAGATTAAAAGTCCGAAAACTTGACGACGCAGATGATGTCACTCTCTCGCTTCCACAATTCATGTACTTTGACGCAAATATTCATGCGCGCGTTTCTAACTAATTTCATATCATGTGTTATTACATTTAAGTGCATACGTAAAATAACGTGATGCATTAAAATAAATAATGCGATCATACAATTTTTAAAAGCGAAAAAAAGTCACACAGGCTGAAAAGATTTAACATATCTATAATCTATTAATTTTTATAAACACAATATTACAACATTAATGCGTGTGCATTTATGGTACATGGACTGTGAAACTGAGAGGTGATAAGAGTTGATTTATCATCCTCCATTCTTTGCACAGGCAACATCTTTTGAGAAAAACGTGACTAGCAACAGTATTAATTATAGTATTACATATATATGCAAGAGGCAATAATAACGATATATCTAGACATTCAAGAGAGTTAGCAAACGATAGCAAAAGAGCGAGAAAGAGTATAAAAGTGCGAGCGAGATGTATATATTGTTTTTCTGCATCCGCGCATATGATCGATGGACAGGTCGATAACGTTGACCTATCGCGATGATTTGACAATTGATTTGATGCAGTGATGTTTTATAATGGCATTGTACGTCATTTGTTTCGTAATTAATGTTATTTACAATTGAAAAACGTTATTACGGTAAATATAAAATTAAAGCTGATTAAAATATATATAATTTCTAGATGTTTTAATCTCGTCTGCATATTTGAACATTTCAGATCGAAAAAATAGTGGAACAATTAGTGGTCGTAAAGCCCAATCCTAGTGAGTCTATACTTGACACAGTTTTATTCGTAAATAAAGGAACAAAAGCGCTCGGTCATGTATTCGATGTGTTTGGCTAAGAGAAGGAACTGTATTACTGCGTTCGTTTCAATGACGCTAAGTACATACAAGATAATGACATTAAAGTAGGCATGCAGGTTTATTATTGCCCGTTGGACAAGTCGTACACGCATCTCGTTTTCATGCACGAGTTGACAAAGTCGGTACTTCGATGAATATCGTATATGCTACATGCGATCGTAATATATTCAAATAAATCAGTAAATACGTCATTAAATAAATGTTTTCTTGCAGAATAAAAGCTTGCGATGCAATTGACGATGACGAGCCGCCGCAATTTTCAGACAATAAGGAAGATCAAACTTATTACGCAAATCTGAAGCAGAAGAATAACAAAAAACTGTTTTAACGGCAGCGAACGGCAACGCTGAATGAATGAGCGTACTGCGAGTTAATTCAGTTGTACCAGTTACCACAAGCAATTGAATAATTATTGGCGATTGATTTTTAGATCCTCACGACAACGCAACAGTGGGCTGGCGATCAAATCATCTGTGGAACCAAAATAGAAGGGTCCAATCTCCGAGATATACAATTGGAACAGACAACAAAGCTGGAGTGATCGTTCTAATTCTGCACAGAATGGAACGTACTCCTATAATGAATCTTGGAACCAACATCCATATCAGAATAATGCTTATTGGCAGCCATTTCCGCAGAACATGTATCCGATAGATATCCTATAGAGCCATATGCAGGACCACCATATACATCATACAGGCCACATTATGGCGCAAATCAATGTTATCAAGGTACCGAGTCTAATTTCCAAAATAATAACATATAAAATTAATATCCTAGAATTTCCTTTAGCACACCTCCATCAAGAATCAACATTATACGTTTGTTCGTATAGGGATGAACTATCAATTTTCCGCTGCGTTATACTCATCCGATATGTATGCGAATACATATCGGATGAGTTTTATTTTTTTTATATACGCAACCACCAGTATCGTCGACGAATACATATTGGTCTCCATCAATTTCTCCATCTACCTCAGTGAATGCAAATACTGATGATCCAAATTCATCTAAATAATTAATGCCGAATATCTTTTAATATAAATATATTAATAGGACATTAAAATAGCATATTAAAATATAATTGTACGTGTGCATAAGTGGTATTTTTTTAAATCTCATTTTCGATGTATAAAAAGGCAGTTTTGTGAATATACTTATGAAATGTTTCATCTACACTTTTTCCAAATTTATTAGAAATCTTGATTCTATTTCTTTTAAGATTACAATAATACTTACATATTTACATAGGAATTTTTAATAAATATGCAATAGGAAGTAAAAAATATTTCTTTTATCAAATAAAGGTTTACATTTTTCTTACAAGTGATTTGCTTTAATCATTAAAAATCATTGTTTTTTAGCTTATTTATAATAGGTTCTTTTAATTGACGTTCCGCTATTACAATGTCATTCTTTATCTCTGTGATGAGTTTGTCTGCAAGAATAAGTAATATAAAAATCTTTAAATTATTAGTAGTAGCAATCTTAAAATAGTAAACATTTTAAATTATTTTAAAAGAATAGTAATCATTAATACACATTTTATATCATTATTATGATAGTGTCCATTACTTAAAGAAGAAAAATCTTTTTCCGGTCTTATGTACGCGCCAATGATAACTTTAAGCTCTTCGCCATAGAAATCATCTTCAACTTTATGTAACAAGTAAACTTCCTGCAAAATAATTATAATTTGTAATTTGTT